ACCCAAATCTTAAAGTTAAAGCCAATAACAATTACTATTGAGCCATCAATTACTTTAATTAATTTACTCTAAAAATATATAAAATATAATCAAATGACCTTATGATCAACATTTAAATTTTTTAAATGTTTTTTTTCTCAAGCTTTTAGGTTAATTCAATTATTGATTATAATTTTATAATTTTTATTTTAGGTCATTACATGAATAGTCTCTAAGAAGGCTATATAATGAACACAAGTGATTGCAAATCAAAGAATGGCTAAGAAAAGAGTTTTGAAGAGTTTAAAATTTGAACACGTAAAATAGAGCATGGAGAGGAAATTTAGTACCGGTGCTGTGAAGAAAAAAACATAGCACACAGAAAAATAGCACAAGTGTTGCTTTGGTAGTATTGGAATTAAGTTTCTTTGTAAATGATGAAGATCTTTATCATTTATAAGGAAATAAAATGATTTTCACAAGAGGCAAGGTAACACAAGTGTTAGAAGGAATAACACGGATGTTAAAACATTTAATACAGAGTCCCTAAGTGTAACACTTGTCCCGAGTGTTATCCAAAAATCACACAATTCAAATAAACTAAGTGTAGTTAAGGAGTTAATCCTAAAACCAACTTAAGAAACAAACCATTTAAATCACTAAGAAAATATACGATTGCAAAGTAAACATTTAAAACCTTTTTTAAATAAAAAAAATTTATAGGTTTTACCTATAGCGCATAGAAGCAAGCTAGCCAAAAGTGAGGTAAAAAGATGCTGTCATGACAGCATTAAATTGATAGCATTAAATTGCTGTCATGACAGCCCTCCTGGGCCAACTTCCGGGAGGCGCCGTTCTGTCATCCGATCTCCGATTGAAGAATTTTAAAGCTCACACATCAAATTCAAAGGGTACTATAAGTGTATCAAATTTTAAAAAGATCCAACGGTCGGATTAAAAATTAAATATGTTAAAAGTTTGGTCATTTTTGCTGTCATGATAGCTAAAAGCTATCATGACAGCACCTTCGGATTAACTTCCGGAGTGCACCATTTTATCATCCGACCTCCGATCGGAGTAATTCCAAAGCCCACATGTCAATTTAAATAGTAATATTAGGATACCAAATTTTGGAAAGATCCAACGAACGGATTGAATTTTGTGCATGTTGCAATATCATCACTGTTGCTGTCATGACAGCTCCTTTGGACCAAATTCCATAGTGCGTCATTTCTCTGTCCGATAACCGATCAATGTGATTCCAAAGCCCACATGAAGCTTATAAAAGTTTTTACTTGTGACCTAAATTTTAGAAAAATCCAACGGTTGGATTAAGATTTGGACATCTAGATGCAAAAGTGCAGTTTTTTTGGTAAAACTATTTTCAAAATTGTCCAAATCTCATCCTAATGGTTACAAACCTATGAGAACACTTTGGACACATCAAATAGAACTAAAAACACCTGGTAGAAATAAATGATAGAAAAAATTTGACCACCCAGGTGCCATTTTTTCAAAATGGACCCTAAACTCCCAAAATGCACAAATCACACAAGAGTGACCAAAAACTATTCCAAATATCATATACACATATGAATACACAACGCTAAACATTTTCACTTGGCTCAGAGATCTCTGTGGGGCCCACGCACCCACTCTCTCTATTCAGGTGTATGTTTGCCTATAGCACACCATTTGCAATGCAACCACTTTGCATTTGCTTATGGAATCACATATATACCAAAATAAATATTTGCTTGTAGTGAAAACTTGGTCTACTAAATAAATCTATTAAAACCACACACCATAACCAAGTTCCCTAGCCACAAGTCTACAAGCAAACAAAAATTCATACACAAGCCATACAATCCACACATACTCACGCGCATACATATAATCACATCATACTGGCACCCTAATCCTAAATACATTACAATGTACTTGCTCAAAAGAAAGGGATTGTAGTTCTTTACAAATCACAAGCAAACCCCTAGCTTAGCTCTTTTCCTCCCCGTCCACCAATAGATCCTTCGCCTGGACTAGTAAATATTGTAAAGAAAGGGGTGAGACAATCACAGTCTCAGTAACAGAGAAATTGATATTCCTTATTACAAGGAAAGCTATGGTCAAGTAAATAAATAATAGATTCAAAATAACATATAATTAGCCAATTAAAATGCTTGAATGCAATAGATAGGTAGATATAGCCTTTCCTGACCAATAGAATGCCCCTTGGCAATCTTTGACTTGTAAGTAAACCTTGCACCCACTATACCTCCACAGGCACAACATATAAACCAAGGCATGATCTGATCTACTGAACCGCCTGTGCCACTTCAACATAAATCCTGAGCAGTCAAAGCTAACTCCCTCCCAGAGCCAGCTCAACTTATTCTCTATGTGACGGCTACCTTGGCCTAGGCACTCAACCTCACACTTCATATGCCGGATTGCCTCTCCCACTGAGAGGTGTCGAACACTCAATCTACTAATCACTTTAGTGTATTAAGCCCACAATACAAAAGGCAACACTGAATACTGACAGTGAGCCATAGAATATCACAAGACCACATCTCCCCATTGGTGAACTCCCACTGAGATCATACCTCCTACCCTTTTCTACCTTTCCTGAGTATTGACCACTTCAACACTCAAGGTAGTATAACACTCATAATTCATCCCTTAAGCAGTTCCTTAGCCTATCTAAGGTACCAAACCTAGTTGCACTTCCCTAAGTGCAACTCCTTTTTTTATGATCACAGTGCATGCTAATAGTCTTATTTCCATAAGTAACATCAATATTAAATAGATAGTAAACATAGATGCATTGTTATTAAAACAATACCCCATAAACCCTTCTAAAACACATTTTATTTGCATTCAATTGTTTAAAACATGTAATGCATGCTAGATAATATTATCTACTCAAAAATAGCTAAACAAAGCAATAAGAAATATAAATTTCCCTATTACCTCAACCCTTTAGTACTAAAAGGGTTTCTCTTGTATAAAATAAGACTTGGCTTGTTTCTTAACTTCTCAATAAGTTCCACCAACAATTCCCTACAACATATAAGTGATCCACATCACTTATCATGACAAATAGCATTAATGAAGACTATAACTCATACCACACAACTTAAGTCTATGAGCCATAATCCATCCCAATGGTTCATGTATTAAACCAACTATTCTCATAATACCACTTAACCACCAAAACCATTTATTAGCCATCACTAGGCTAATTTTCAATTCATATAATTTTTAATCAATTAAAAACTTTCACTTAGTTTCACCAAGTTTCACTGTTAGCCCTTATAATGAAAACCAAACCTTAATTTAAATCTTATTAGGCTCAAATAGCAAAATTATAACTAAATCAATAGTCTTAAACCATTGAGGAGAAAAACCCAATCTCTCAAGGTTTAATTTGTGCCCAAAACACCTCTTTTCATCCAATTATCCACTCAAAACATTAGATCACTATATAGAAACTCAAACATCCTCCCTAAGATCCAAAGAAATAAAAGCTTACAAGAATAAAGCCTTTGAGATCAAAATTCAACAAAAATTTTCTCTTCCAAAAATTTAAGAAAATCAAGAGGGAAGGAAGAGGATTGAAGTAGGAAGTTTACCTATTGCGTAGCCGAGCTCGCAACAGTCGCAAAGCCTAACATTACAAGAAAGGGAAAATTACAAGAAAGGGCCTAACATTTCTAACTCCCTCTCTCTTCTCTCTCTCTCTTCTTCCTCTCTCCCTCTCGTGTGTTTCCTTTCTTTTCCTTGTTTCATTTCTACGTTTCTGCGTCTGTTTTCCCTTTAAAATGCTAATGTAAAACTTTAGGGAAAATTATAAGAAAGGGCCTAACATTTCTTATTATAGCACAAAAGCTCGGGTAAACTTTGATAATTTTCCCATAGTTAAAAATAAAATAAAACCCAACTTTTGCTTAGTAAATTCAAACTATGGACCTCTATCAATTATTCTTAAATTTAATTTAATTATAGATATTTTATTTTATTTTTTTAAAATAAATCTAAGTCTTTAAATTTTGGGATGTTACACTAAGAGTCAAGTTTAAAAGAAGTATCAGTGCCATGTCATTAACATAGGTGTTAAGAGAGAACCTTGAACCTTGAAGGGCAGCACAGGTGTTATCAAGTTAGCACAAGTGTTAATTCAACTTAAAGGATTTCTTACAAAGTAAACTATTACGCACCATGAGAAAATATCGATGTTATCTAAGAAATATAGGTCTAAGACAAGAACTGAGAGAAGGGGATAGAGTACTATAAATGTAATAACCCATATTATAAATAATAAAGCTAGATTAAATAATAAGATAATTTTATTGTATTTAAAAAAAAATTGTTGGAAAAAAAATAATAATAACAGTATGCATTGGTGGTTTTAGTAAAAATTTTGTTGGTTCTTATCATTAAAGTCTTGCATTAGAGATTTTTATTTTTATTTTTCCTCTGTTGTTTGAAATTATCATTTTTCCCCTTAAAAAAAGAAATGAAAAAAAATAATGAAAATGGCAGATATAAATCGGGCTTCCTCTTCACCTCTGTTTTTTTCAAAAATTCCAGACCAGCTGAGAAAGAGAGAGAGAACGAGAGAGAGCAAGCGAGCGAGCTTAGCCTTCCTGTCTCGACTTTCCTCTGTTTCTTCCGCCGCTTACTGTCATCGCGCCGGAAAAGAAATTCTCACCTCCTCTGTTATTCCTTGCTGAAATGCTCTGTTGGTCTGCGTTGCTGTGTGTTCCCTTTTTCTTTGATTGTGTGGCCAAAAACTCATCTCCTTTCCTGTATGTGCTGTTATGGGGCAGCGTATCAAGTTTCCCTTCCATTCCCACGCATCACCATCATCTTCTCATCATTGCTCTGTCTCTCACGCCGTCTCTTTGCTGTTGGGTGTGTGAGGTATTGAGTCACCTGAGGCTGTAGGTGATCGGAAAAAAGAAAAACTTCCTTCTTATTCCTTCTCTGTTGGTGGGTTGCTATAGGTGCTGCCAGGGATGCGTGAGCTTCTTCTTCCTTTGCTTCTGTCGACTCTTTTCCTCTTCCCCTTCTCTGTCGTTGCCAGCTCAGGTTTGATTCTTCCAAACTTTACTTTTCGCTAATTCCATGTGTGGCACATTTTAGTAGTTGTAGTTATAAAAAGTGTCCCTCTTTGCTGGATTTATGTGCGTGGGTGAAACATGATGATTTTTGATTTTGTTGAGTTTTCTCTCTCTAATTTCATGAACTATGTGAGGTTATGTGCGGTAGAAATCTAAGCAAGTTGAATTTATTCAAGTATTAGCATCCTAGAATTATTAGAAAGGAATGGTTGGGATGATATTTGCATAGAAGAGAAGAGAAAGAAAGAAAAAAGTTCATACTTGTAAAATATGTTTGATAAAATGCCCTATGAGGGTTTTGCATGATTATGTATTTCTTTTATTTTTTTTTAAATAGTGAGAAGTAAGATTGTATCCGGGTGCTATTGGTTGAATTTAACATGAAAATTTACAAGTAAAGATTTATTATGAAATTATTGTGGGACAAATGAAAAGTTGATTGTTGTTGATTTATAAATCATGATATCACTTTCATGACTTATTTTGGGATGCCATAAGAGATTCGATTAAATGGGAGAATTGTAGTATTTTCAAAATATTAGGATGATAAAAATTTGGGTGTGCATGCATGTATATATCTCAATCAAAATTTAGCTATTTGTGCCTAAGGAAATTAGATGGATAAGTATAATATAAATAAAGTCTCAAATGGGAAAGTGTGTATATATAAATAAGGATCGAAGGATTTAAAGTATAAATTAGATTGATTTAAGAATTTAATGATTATGGAGAAATCCTTATGTATAAATCCTGATTTAAGAGTTTCAAATTTATTATAGTTATATTTTTCTTTTGTTAATATGAAAGAAAATTTTAATAGGTTTGTTGAGAGTCCATTAAGATCCTATTATATGTTAAATAGGAGATTTGGGGAAGGGAAATTGTTGAAGTGGCAAAGAAGATTCGTTTAAAGCTGTATAGGGTGACTTTTAATATTTGAAAATATCACAGGTAAGTGGATAGTGTCCCAACTAATTTTTTTTAATCAAAATTTCCTTTACTAAAATATTATATTTTTTTAGAAATCATTTTTATAGCATCAATGTGATTATTGAATATTTGTTGATTAACATTACTTTATTTTGAGAAATTAGCTTTACCAAATTTGAAATGTTATTTGATCAATAAAATCAAGTTTGAACTTTGATTATGAGATTTTTATTCTATCAAATATTGGAGAGATACAGAGAATGATTCATGCGAGTTCGAAGTTAAAATTTTTTTTTATTCAATAAATGCAAGCATAAGCATTGGATATGAAATTTGATTTTGGCAAGTTTTAATGCTTAAACATATTCATGCGAGTTTGATTTTGAGAATGAGAACTGTATCTTGAAAGTGATGATTTTCTCGCATGTTTGAAAATGGTTTTAAAAAGGGACTTTATACAGAACACTGACTGCTAACGGCAGTTCTGTTAGCCCTTAGCGTGCCATGGTACACCTAGCTAGCAAGGTGTGTATAGGAGGTGCTAGCCCCGTGTGATGGCCAACGCACGTGGAACGGAGGGATGGTTATTCGTGAGCATCGTACTCACGTTTGTTTCGTGGCTTCAGCTGCGTTTGGTTACATACCCTCATGGACTATGTGTCCACGTTTGTTTCGTGGCTTCAGCTGCATTTGGTTAGTTACCCTTATAGACTATGTGTCCACATTTGTTTTCGTGGCATAAGCCGCGTTTGGTTAGTTACCCTTATGGATTGTGTATCCACATTTGTTAATTGTTCTGATAAATTCCTATAATTATGAATCTAATTATTTAATGATGTTATATTCTATTGATTTTTATTCAATAATTTGTTTATAAATATTTATTTCATTCAGGTGCTTCCATGAAATCAAGTGATATTATCATTTGCTACCATGGTTTAATGATTTGAGATTTCTTTGAACTTTTATAGACACATGTTATTATGAAGCTTATTGAATTTTTATGAAAATTTTTGTTTCTTTAACTTACATATTTATTTCGAATCTTTCATTTATTTATATTCTATTATTTATTGTTGGGACGTTATTCACTGAAAAACATATTTTTAGCCTCAGGTAGTATAAGTTGAACTCGTATATCAAGGTGTTACTTGAGGCATTCTATCGCTAAAGTGGAGCGGAAGAATTATTTCAAACAAGTTTTGCTTGATGAAAATTTGAACCCTGTATTCATTTCAAGGACTGGTCCTAACTACTCCACGTATAATATAGGTAGGATTCTCGTCTTTCTTTAAAGATTGTATATATGTTAGTAGGGTATGAGATCCTTTTATTTGATTATTATTGTTTTTTTTGTCATTTACTTCAGGAAGTTTTATTTACATGAAAATTCTATTAAAATTTTTATAAAATAATAATAATAATAATAAAATATATGCCTATAGTTTTGTATGGATGAAAGTATGTTTGTTCAATGCTTAAGGGATATGGGTTTTACACACATATTTCGTGCCAGTCATGCCTTAAATTTTTAAGGCGTGACAGTATAGAACACAAGTAACACTGGTGCTAAGTGCATAGTAGCATTGTTAAAGGCACAAATGATAAATTCCAAAGTAGATAACATGAAGGAAATGATCAATAGCATTGGTGTTATAGGCACAGTACTAGTGCTAAAGGCACTTAGGTAAAAGGGAAATTCTTGAAAGAGAATTTTAACACAAGATTCATCTGGAAAACTTTCACAAGGATACATAGGTATTCAAAAGGCATAGAGTTAATTCAAATACTTAACCAAGATAGGATTTCTTTAAAAAATAAGATTAGGTATAGGAAAAGGTTTTGGCTTACATAATATAAAATTCAAAACCTACTTCTTAAGTTAGCTTTAGTATAATGTTTAGCCATTTATCTTAGTTATGATTAAATAACCTGTGAAACACAATCTTCTCTTTATTTTGTAATAATCAAAATCAGGGTTCAACAACTTGTATTGGTAGTAAAGGAGCCTTTATTAGAGTTTTTAATATAGCCTATAGTGGTAAAGGTGCTAGAATGGATAGACCACTCTCATGATTAGGCTCCACAAGAGTAACTATAGAGTCCTTTGAATTTAAGGTAGGAGTTTCAACTACGTCTTGCCTAATTGCTTGTTTCTACAAATTTAAGGATTATATAATTTGTTGGAAACTCTTCTTTTTTTTTTTCAATAAGACGTGCACCTTCTTGAATTTGATGTTCCAACTTAGCATTGGATGTGGCATTGCAGCATTTGGCTTTAGCTATTTGTCTTTCTAATTCATCATTAAATCTCTCATCCTCAGCCATTTGCCTTTCATATTCAGCTTTATGACGTGTTTCATAATCATCCCATTCATTGTATGCATACCAATAATTGTGTTGATCTCCAATAGTTGTTCGCTCGTAGCCTTCATGATATTATGAATGTCGAGCAATTTGAGGTGGGGTGCTAAAATGCTTTCAACACTCCTTACATGGGCCATCATAAAAATAAAACATAAGAAATCACGAATATAAATATAAAACTTATCCCTTAAATCACAATAGTTTAAATTCAAATCCCAAATTCTAAATCTAAATATAATCTTAAAGACACTGATATTTAAAATAACAATAAAATAAATAATAAATCATGATTCTAATAGATAAATATCTTTATCCCTAATGAATAATCCTAATATCTTAGATAAATCCTAATAATCCTAAGTAATCATTATCCCAAATTCCATCAATAGGCCAAGAGGAATAGGTATAGCCTAGGAGAGCAATGATGACATATATGACAAGTCTTGGAGAATGATAAGTCTTAGTCGTATCGGCCTCAAATTAACTAAGTTAACCCTAGTGTGCTACAGAGTCAACCAACATTACATTTCTCAAGGAGTTAGAATCTTAAAGCTAAAATGATGACATATAAGACAAGTCTTGGAGAATGATAAGTCTTAGTCACATCGGCCTTAAATTAACTAAGTTAACTCTAGTGTGCTACAGAGTCAACCAATATCATATTTCTCAAGGAGTTATAATCCTAAAGCTAAATTGATTAAAAGCACTAATAAAATAGTAAGAGATACTACTATAGAAAAAAAAGCTATTGGAGCACCTCTATCAAAGTGTTTTTATTTAAAAAATGCTCCAAAAGCATGATGCGGAACCTATTGGAACATTTTTTTGCTAAGAACGCTATGGTAGGCCTTTACTTATAGGAGCTTTTTAAGGCCCAAAATGCTCTCGTAAGGGAGTTATTTTTTTTAAAAAAAAATAAAACCTACAGGAGCTTTCATAGGTAAAAACGCTCTTGTACATTTTTATTTTAAAAAAATATATGCGCACCCCTTCGATTTCATTCCCCCCTTTAGCAAAACACAGCCCTAAACTCGTTTCCCTCCCTCTCTCCGAAGATATCTACGAAGCTGTCATGCCATCCGCTTGAAGATTCTACACCATCGCCTCAAGCCTGTCTTGCTTCCTTTTGCCTCAAGTCCTGCTTCAGTTCATCTCTACATCTATCAAACCAGATCTATTCTTCCATTACTTGTGGTAGTGGAGTCTATTCGTCCCTGTTCCAGGTCTGTTTGGTTGATCATTATCCATTTTCTTGCCTCTTCCAAGATTTTATGGTGCATTGTTCATGGTAATGTTCTTGCAGTTTATTCATTCTAGTTGTTGACATCAAATAATAGTCATGAGCTTATGCTTAACCTCTGTTATTTTATCACAGTGCTCAGGATTGAAAATTTGCTAGAAAGCAGTTTCTCATGAGGCAACAATATGATATTATTGTACACTATGAGTCCGCATAATCTTTCTACCATTATTCCATCACAAGATGATTTGGTTTATTTCATCATGAAATAGAATGCATATACCATTGTGTAATGCAGGAAGTGAATGTAATTCTTTTATGTTGACATTTGATGGTAATGATGTAATGGAACAAAGACTAGCTGAGGAGGTGAGCTATGAAGATGGCACTAAACAGCTTGTATTACTTTCTTTGCATCTCAAATTTCATTAGGAACTAACCAAATTGTTTGTAATTTAATGTTTTTGTTCAAAAATTGTAATTCATATGGTTTACTCTATTCAATCTGTAATGTTTAAATGAAGTTTTAGGTTTATGAATTTGCTGCAACAATCCAAAAATTTTCCACCCCTCTTTTTTCTTTTCCCAGGTCATATCAGTTATAAAGCGTCACCTAGGTGATTAGAAAATTTCATTTATAGGTCATTCTTTAGGTGGCCTAGCTGCTAGTTATACAACAGCCAAGATTTGTGAGAGAGATATTTCAAAGGAAATTGCTTGAGAGAATGGACACTCTGGAAGTCACAATTCAGATCCAACAAGTCATAAAAGGAAATCTGAAGTCACCTTGTTCAAAAATTTTAAATAGTTTATATTTATATATTGATTGAGTTAGATTTCCACTTTCTCTTAAAGAATTAGCATGCTTGTCTTTGAAGGTTTGTTCTGATCAAAATCTAATATTCTGTGTAATAGGTCTAGTAAAGATTTTCACTTGACATCTCAGTGACTAGGAGCTTCAAACCCTTTCATTAAAGATGCATTTGTTGAGGTTCTATGCCCAACAAGGTGTTAGTTAGGTGGCTGAAACTAAAAATGGTCATGAAGATCCAAGGTGTTTATCTATCTATTTTCTTTGAACTCAGCTCAAATCTTCTTCAAGTTCCGGTGTTCTATGGCTTTCACTCTCTCTGGAGAAAGCAAAAACTTATTTTTCACTCTCTGTTTTTTTATAAATAAAAGGGGAAGCCTCCACTTCTTGCTGTCTGAATTTGTTTTTCTTATTTGCACCTCAGCTAATAACATCTTTTTCTTTGGCTGATGAAGACTAGGGGGAACATCTTTTTTCTTTTAATGTTAGTTAATCCTATTTGAGTTCTAAGAACAGTCCCCCTTTCTTACCTCTCGTAAGTTTCTGGAAGCTTTCACTACTACAAAAAATGACATAAATGACAGGTTTTTTAACTTATAAATGAACCATCATTTATGACCCTGACATTTAAAGTCTCCCTAAATAAATGACGGTTATTTACCCATCATTTATTCCTTTGTATAAATGACGGTTAAATAACCTATCATTTAAAATATATTTTTATGCATCTTCTATAAGAATAAGTGACAGGTGTTTAAAATACCTATAATATATTCTTACCATAAATGACGGGCAAATATTTTACCATCATTTATTCTACCAGACAATACATGACGGGCAAATATTTGCCCGTCATATATGTTTTGGTTACAATAAATGACGGGCAAATATTTGCCCATCATTTATGGTAAGAATATATGACGGGCAAATATTTTTGGTTAGAATAAATTATGGGCAAATATTTTTCCATCATATATTCTATGGTTTTTTTTAAACAATGGTCTATTATTTATAGCAGCCTCGCTGTAACAACTATACAAATAATAACCAGACAGTAATTCCAACATTTTTATATATGAATATCAATTGAAATTGAATTATAATCAATAAAAAATGAAATAAAAACTAATCTCTTATTCTAATCTATTAAGTAATCAATGTATAGAATTTTTTAAAGGAAGTAATTTATCAACTAATATCAAATAATGAGTGAAAACTAGTAAAACTATAAACACTAACCCTACTTGCACTAAATCTATTGATTTTCATCTTTATGCAATGACCACACTTGGAATATGTACTTGCACCACTCTTCAATTACCTCATTTATTTATGCATGCCTAAATTCTTTAATGTAGGAATCCTTATAGTACTATAAAACATAAATTATCCACCATAAATTTATTTTAATAAATTAAATTCATTAGCAATTATAAAGTAAAAATTAATTGTTGGCATACCATCGCAAGAATTGTGCTCTCATTATGGATAATGATGTTTTTCATGAACCTCATAACACAAAAAGCCATAAGGGAGAATGATGTTAAAGTCCCACACAAGGAAATTAATTACTGCAAGATCCATTGACAACTGAACTAAACTGCATTGACAACACAACCCGTTGTCAATATAGTTTAGTTCAGTTGTCAATGGACCTTGCAGTAATTAATTCCCTTGTGTGGGACCTAACTGTAATTTTCCTAAGCCACAATCCAAGCTATTTTTCATTTGTCTTGGGCACTACAAATTAAAGAACTAATTAGTACATATTAATGCATTAAAAAATTATGAATATTTAAATTAAAAAATGATATTAATTACCTTTATTATATTTCAAGTGTAGGCTGCATCAAAATTTGTAAATGCCCTTGGAATTATTTGTTTAGTGTTTGTGTGATACAACACAATTGCCCTAATAAAAAAATAAAAAAATATGTCAATATAGAAATAAACAAATAAATATATAAAATACTTATTTTTTGCACTTACGTATTGATCAACTCCAATAAAATTTGTCTATTCTCTGGTTTTCCACCAAGAGAATCAAGATAATATATTCTTGGAGTGCTACCATATGGTTCAGTGGCAATCAACATCCAATAGTCCCTAATAGCATTAACAAGTGTTATAAAATTATAGTTAATTAACTAAATTAATCTTAACAAATCCATTAATATAAGTAAGAAGTAGGTTACCCTTGGCAATATGGTATTAAGAATAATGTCCCCTTTTGAGCCCTTGCTTTAAAATTTTCACTTAATTGATTGGCTTGATCTAAAATCTTGTCGTTTTTAATTAAAGCATGTGCACCAACCTTATGGGGAGTAACAAAAACGGACTTCGTTTGTAGGCCAAAAGGGACAATAAATTTTTCATGCAAGCACATACCATTAATATATCAAATGGATAAGTATATATTTAAAATACTAACTATTTATTTATGAAAGATAATTTACTGTATATAAAAGCTGAGAACAGTGAGGCTAGTCATCTCATGTTGTAACACTTCATCTATAATATTGAGTGAAAGCATATCATACCATGGTGCACCATATATTCCTGCCTAAAATGGGATTTGCAAGATCGGAGGATTAGACCTATGAATCATTGCACACGCCTGAAGTAAATTTCGATGCTAGCTTGACAATTGAGGCTCTTGTTCAGGTATTGCTACATGCAAGACAATTTTTGAGGAAAGCCTAATTGGGGCACAATCTTTTTCTTGGATTGTGCATCTTTGTTAGCTTTTTTTAGACTTGGCATCTTAATATTGGTAACTTGCCATTCAACAAAGCTACCTATCGCCTCTCCTACAATCCCTGCATCCTCGATGGGAATAGGTAATGAATAGTTGAGATCTTTAGGCACATCAATAGCAACTCATATATAGGATGCAGGGAGTGGCATGTTATGTAATGTGTCTCCAGGCATATTGAACACTCGACTAATAGCAACCACATAACGATTCAGGCTATTTGCTAACAACTCACATATATTCTCGCCCTATATTAATGAGTAATATACTATATTAATGCTATGGAAAATAAAAATAATGAAACATAAGTGAAATAAATAAGAACTATTTTACCTCAGGGAGATTTTTAACGGGCTACGTTACACTAAAACTACCTTTCCCGCTAGGACTAATATGAAACTCCCCCTCCTGCCTCTCCTTGTCCTTGAGCAAGGTATCAATCAATTCTCGTTGCCTACCTAGCTCTTCTTTTAGTGTGGCAATCTCAACCCTTGCACCTATGTACTCTGTTAACTTTATCTTTTTTTGTGTCCCAAATATTTGTTTTTTTGTGACACCAAAGCCATAACCCTAACCCAACCGAAGTGTTCAGGATTACCTAGTGCCTTGCCCAAGACATCTCTATCATCAGGTAGGCCACTTTTCTCTATCTCAGCCTGTGCAACATATAGTGAGAAAGTTAAGTTTATTAATTGATTATAAGAAAAATGGAAATATTTAAATAATATACTTACACATTTGTTAGCAAGTTCCTAAACACGTTCGTCAACAATATTTCCTTCTTTATTGGTCCGAGCTTCTATGAAGAGTTTATGACATGAAACAGAACTTGCTCCTGAACCCTCTCACTCGATCTATGTATTTAAATAAAGTTGAACATTAATAGTGCACATATCAATAAAATAAACTAAAATTATATGACTTAAATATTAATATACCATTTACTGCTCAATTCCTGCATATCCTATGTGCCCTTTCTTGTAAGGGTGTATATCTTTCTCATGCAACTCTTTCTTTGGTTGCTCAATTCCTATGCAAAACACAGAATTAGATCAAAAAATATATATATTGATAATAAAAAATTATAGTTCTTACTTGGAATTGCCCCTCGAAATGTTAGGCAATAAATTCATCCCATTGTTCTTGTGAGACTAATGGCCTTATTAATTCAGAAACTTCAACACTAATGTTTCCGGCCAATTTTTTAATGTATTTCATTCCAACGAAATACCGAAATGTCCGCATTGCTTTTTTAGCTTGTTGAATGACAAATTTCATTCGACTAGCATCAATTATGAATGCTGACTGTAAAACAAAGAAATTAATTAGATTTGTAGTCAAGTAATTAAAATTAATTATAATGATTATGAGTAAAGTATTTTACCTCTACTTGCTCCCAAATATAATTCTTTGTTACTAGACTAACATCGTTCCAACTCCTAATTGTAATGGGCATATTGCCTTTGCCACAATTCTATGTAGTTGATAAATTTATTTCTGTTATTCTTGATAGGTTGACCTTTGTAATTCCATTCAAGCTCATATTTTTGTCCAGTAGCCCTTCTCCTATTCACCTTGCTCATTAATGTCAATTCCCTTGTTATTTGATTTGCTTTTTGTTGAATTTGTTGGTCATTCATGTCAATGCTAGGATCAGTATTGTTAGGTCCACTAGGATCAATACTTTTTTGAGAAACCATTTACCTACAAAAATAAAAAAAACAAATATGGAGAAGAAATGAATGATAAATTGATTAAAAATGTAATTGACTATTCTACATGTCAAAAAAATTCGGCAGCATA